GTGTGTAGATATGCTCCTGGAAGGGTTAAGTAGTCATGTTAAGTGCATCTAACTTGGTTAACTAAACCCTGTAAATATCTGAACTTGTTCTGATATATTAGCAAACACCCGGCCCATCCAAGCAAGTACGGAAAACACACAAAACTCAAAACAAAGGCGCCGGAACACTGCGCCAAAAAAAGGCTGCAAAACATGACGAACGAAAAACGCATAAACATCTGACAGGAAAAGCGCTCGAAAACGTAACGAAAATGCGGCCTAACAGGCAGCATCCGGAACGGTCTCCACAAAAAGTGCGCAGACACGTGCCCCACCCCACCCCACCCCATGCGGGGCAGTGGGTGGTGGCCTTGCAGCGCACTGCGCGGCAGGGGGGTAGCAGCGCACGGTCTACTAGTGTAAAATGTAAGAACAATCAGTCAAGCCTGCGGCAGATGTTACCTGCGAGTAGTACCAGTAACTCCGTTGTGCGACAGTTTGACAAGTGATCTGCAAATAGAAGCCAGGTATAGAATAGCGGTATAGTCACTTTTGAGCGGGTTCGGGATTCAAGCCCTGCTTCCGTCTGGCTTTAACCACTCGACCGAGGACAAAGCACTATAACAACAAAGGGAATGCCAGAAGTGCACTCGTATGGCTTCAACCCCCAGCCTGAGACAACAAAAACACGGATCCAGAGAGAATGCCGTAACTTGTGTTATCGTGTTGTGGTTTTGTTTTGGGGTTTTGGTGTTCCGAGTGCTGTGGCGAATTGGCACTGTACTTAAAAGCTTGTAGTGCTAAAAACCAAAACACAAAAAGAAACACAACAACAATCACAAAAACCACACCATTCCGGCAATACCATAAAGCTTTCAACCATGGCACTCAGAGCAGCAGCAAACCTTAAAGCCCAACCTCCAGATCAGTCGCCCAGTCTCGCGATTGCCAAGAAGCTCCACCTGAGAACGTCAGCAAAATGAACGGTGCAGAAAGGAGTGGATCCTCACACTATAATGGGATACGAGGTTCTCGTTCTACAAAAACCGGTGCTCAGGACAACAAGACCTGCAGGTGCGGCGGCTTGTCTCTGTCTGTCTGTCCGTCCGTCTCTTCCCTCTCTCTCGCTCTCTCTATCCCTTCCGGGCATGGGGACCTGTCACAGCCCCCGGGCATCATGCCCACCCGACGTTTGATCGAGACGAGGTGAGTGAACAGCGAACGTAGGTCATTCTAAGGCTAAAGCCATAAAGTACAGTTTACGGTCCTCCACTATTCCCAACAGAACCAACCAGAACTTTCTGAATGTCTGCCAAAGCCGCACTTAGCAGTTTCATCACCGAGATGGAGGTGGCCTCGGAGCTTGCGGGAACTCTCGAGGCTGCCACGGAAATCTCGGAGATGGCATCCTCTACACAGTGTCTGAGATACGGCCTCTCCAGAATGGCCAAACAGCCCTTCAGTGATCAGCTCCGAGGTGCGAGGTCAACATCTCCAAGCCCGTCCAACACTTCCTTCATGACCTTTTCGTCCCTCATGACCTGAAGCCATGAACGGAATGAACGTTCTCGTCTCTCCCTGGAAAACAAGCTCCATAAAGCCGACATGTGCGCTGCTTTGCTTTCATCTGTACCATATCTGATTTTGCCTCTCAAATGCATGCTTTTCTCTCATAGCCACCAGCAGACCACTGGTTGCCAAGCGGAGGGCCTCAAAAATCTCAACGAAGTGCCGTGCATCTTTTTCATAAGTTAACCTGGCATTTGGGACATGGTCAAAGAATTCGCTGCACTGCTGTCGAGGTGACAGACTTCACACCTCGAAAAGCCCGATGTACTGTAGTTACTCTCCGGGACTTTGAATCTGCCTGAAAAGCAGGACAAATATGCTGCAGAACGGTCTTGGACATTTCCTGGTGCACGTGCTCTGGGATGTGGATGGGGGCATGGTAGGGCACTGACTCCTGCGCTATCACCAACAGCTGGCCTCCAAGCCCTTTGGGCATTGGGTGACTGCGTTCGCATCACGCCGATGACACATCCAGCCGCGAAGAAGGCCCCCAATACGGTGACTCCCTGCAAAGCAAAAGTCAGGAAGTTGGGCTATGGCTATGGCAAAGGGCGTGGCAACGAGAAAATTATGTGCGTGGCCGTGTGGTTGCGATCAAACCAAAGCAGGCCCGGTTGAAGATATGTGACACACAGACACACCCCAAGCTTTCGAGGCAGGATCAGCGCAAGGATGCGCAAGAATTCATGTCATCCAAGAGACTATTCCACGACAGACTATGGACGCATGTGTTGACACCGTTTAGGCCATGCCTGTTGTGCAACGGAAGATAGCTTTCGCACACTCAGTCGGATGACGGTGGCGTCCTGGCATGTTTCCTAGTAGCTGTGTATTGAAAAGTACCTGGAATATACAAGAAGCCAAATACCGCAAGCATGTCCCACAAATCATGGGCCAGCCATGCCGGGCCCCGTACCAGGAAAAGGACTGCCACATCCTGGACTTCCGTGTCGGAGGCAGGCACGAAGAAAGGCATCAGGAGACAAAGGACCTGGACAAAAGCTGCGCAGGCTGAGAAGCCCGGCCCGGCGGGTCATGTATCAGAGCTACATCTTCTATCATCTTCTTTAGGATCAAGCTTGCCTACGGGCCGGAGACGGGCCCTCCCCAGCAACAAAGCCGAAAACCATTGAACTCGTGGCCGGCGCAAGGAATACCTCCAAGCGATTTTGAGGAGCCCGCCCGGCGAAATACAACAAGTGCTGGCAGTGCTGGGGGAGCATCTGGGGGAGCAACGAGCACAGGGAAATGTATTGCCAAGGATTCTGGGGCCTAAGTCAGCCCAAAGCTCGGGACTTGCATCGTAACAGGATGACTACAGCATTGTGGACCTCGCTATATTCCATAAGCCAAATATATGCCCTCATGAAATACATTGTCAAGCCCCAGGATATGCCCTGTGGACCCAACAGGCGCACTAGACCAGTTTGGTTGTGTTGGCACAACATCTCTCCAACACTGCAGCTATCGACGGCCTCACGCTCCCCGCGGTCAAATCATGCGAATGCAAATAAGACACAGCCAGAACATAGTGGAGCGCAACGTCAAGGCAAAGCAGCCTCAACTGTTGAGAGCTGCAACCACCCAGAGAGCTGTCCTACTGCCAGTTTAGGGAATTCGAAATGGCATCGTTTGTCGCGGGATCTTTTCTGTTGCTTGGCCTGGGTCGAGGCTATGAACCTGCCGACATGAATACATAGCTGAAGTGATATGTCCTGGGGGGGCCCCCCTACACCCGCGAAAAGCGGCCGGCACTCCCAAGCAAAAACCAAGAGGATGGTCGAAAAGGTCGTTGATGCGGGTCGCTGTTGAGGATGCTTTTACAGTGCTTGGCGTGCCGCAGACATGGATGCTGAACCGTGACTAGAAAGCAGCATCTGCTGAACTTTCCAGTGCCAATAACTAACATTTTGGTTCACTTGCACGTGTACTGTTGCTGATGCTGTGTGTCTCCCGTCTGGCACGCACCATCTAGACCCTGCATTTGTCTAAGATCTGTTCATCTAGGCTGTGTAGAGGCGGCGCAGGCCTGGACAGTGGCGTATTGGTGGCAGTTTTCTTGTGTTTGTGATGGTAGCAGTTGGTGCAGCAATGTGTTCACTTCTCACCGGTTGCATCGGTCTCCTTCGCCAAGGCTGTTCATGTGTGCTCAAAGGCCAAGGCTTTTCGGAACTCGGGCTCCAACTCTCTTGCCCACCAAGCAGGATGGGCTAGCTCAAAACCAGGCAACATGCTTTAGAGACTGAACGACAAAACACGTCTGTCTGTTTCTTGCTGCCAGGAGACGTGGAAGTTCGCCAAGGCAAAAACCAGAACACTGCCAAAAAGTAGATAAGAAGGCCTGTGCCCCATTGGGAGTTAGTGGGATGGTGCACCAATCGACGATATTGTAGACTGATTATCAAACTGTCGACCGCCATGACGATGTTCGTTGCGGAATGATGTGATGGAGTTGTGCCATTCAGCAATGATGTTTCTCCATCCCTACTCATACACACGCTGCTACTTCTACGGCAACTACAACTATGACTGCTGGTCTTGGAAAACATCCTGGTATGCATCTCAGCGTTCGCAAGAGTACTATATATCAACACGAGTTACTACTGTAACTCACAACGGAAACTTTAAACCATGATACAAGCTCGACATCATGTGCTTCGGTGGCTTGCCGAACCCATCAATTACGGACTTAGCTGTCGCTGATGCCTCAATACGTCAACAAGTCAAGATTATGCCACCAACCAGGGTGGAGAGCTTTTCGCAATCTGTCGCGACTCCATGCATCACGCGCTTTGATAAGCGATGCGATCAATCGTGGTCGAGCTCAGGCGATCTGTTCCGTGTTTTCGGGTAATCTTGACCTGGTCCTCTTGCTCTCCTCCTCCTATATTTCTTTGCTTCACCTGAATCCCGCGACATCGAGATGAGGATGAAATGAAGATGGACGACCATGCTTTTAGAACTGTGCCTCAACCCCTCCTATTCCGAAGTTGCTAGAAGCCGACCTCCCCCAACCCAAAATTAAACAACACAGCAGCTGTCTGCACCAGAAGCTGTGGCATGTGCTACGCAAACATAAAGCCCTGAAAAGTCAGTCTCCCTCATAAGATCCAGAGCTCCCGAAAGTTCAGAGCCTGTGCCAAGATAGACAGTTTGCGCCATGGGCGAATCGAAGATCACGGTCGTGAGGGACAAGAACAACCCCTGCATCTAGGCCGCTGTAGTGGGTGATGCAGGTACTCTATTGCTCGCTGGACCTGCGCTCCCAGGGAGCAAGCTACAAGCGCTTCGATAAACGAGAACACTCGCGGGACAGTCACCGTGCTGTGGAAGAGACCGCTTCATGCTGAATCCCATACCACTGCTCCACTTGCATACCTTCGACACCAAATCGACTTGTTGTTGGAAGCTTTATATTCAAGGACAGTGCAAACTGTGAAAAGCATCGCCATGCCTTCAGGATCGAGACAATGACCCACCAATAGACGGATGGCCGCACTTGCAGAAACAGGCATTTCCATCGCATGCGAAAGCTGACGTCCTCCGCTTCCGGGTTGCTTGGGGCTGGAGCAGGATACATTACTATTGTTTCCCACAGCTGCTTCGGTATGCACAGTGGGGATGCCACTGCAAGTGTGCAAGTTTCATTTCGGTCCTTCTTTTGTGCTTGGTCCATTTTCTTCTTGCTGGTTTTGTTCGGGTAAACCTAATATTGGACGCGTGCGTACGGTGCGTTTCCCGGTTTTCAGGGTTTGTCCTAGGGATGGTTGTTGGTGGTGTTCGTAGGGTGCACCTGGTCTGTACTGCATTGACACGCTCAAACTAAGATGAACATGTATATATACATATATATATATATATGCTACCCCCCCGCAGGACCTACCTCGAAGCCTCTTCTTGTACTGTCTAAACGGCGTTACGACTCCACTCCGAACAAAAGCGTTGTATTGCGTAGTCTTCCCTGTCTACGACGACACA